GAGATAAAGCGAGTAATGACAAATTCAGAATTGCTAGTAATAATAATGTCATCTACATATAATAATAAATAAATGATAGAATTATAATATATGACGATAAATGAAAAAAGAATTGTGTGACAACTACATGAAAAATTATGGAGAAGTAGGAAGCTACTAAACCTATGAAACTATGTCAGTGATGCCTGTTTATTAAGTTCATAAAATAGCCTTGCACATATGAAAAATATTACCAGGTTTGAGGATGTTCAAAAGCGCGAGGTTAAAGCATATACACCTCCTCAGTAAGGTGATCATGAACAAAAACATTTTTAACGTCAAGTTGACATACCACCCAACCAAACCCAACAACAAGAGTAAGGACAATACAAACTGTAGTGAGTTTAATGATATGACTAAAAGTTTCAGAACAATGAATACCAGCTTGTTGATTAAATCCCTAAGCTACTAAGGCTCTGTTTGCAAACACTTGTGTTTAAATAAAAGCACTTATTGGGAAAAAATGATCAGTGATAAAAGTTGGCAGTGTTTGGTAAAATAAGGTTTTTTTGTGTAATAGAAAAAGTAAAAAGTAGATTCTACACGAAAACCGAGAAAGTAAAAGTTGGTAGTGTTTGATAAAATAAGTGTTTTTTTTCTTAAAAAAAGCCACAATCACTTACTCCCTCCGCAACATAAAGATCTTCCCATTTTGACTTTTCACGGTCTTCTAAGTTGAACTTTGACTGCAAATATCTACATATCTATATTTATAAAATTCATAATAAATTAACATTCAAATAATACGTTTTACAATGAGTTATATAAAATAAATTTTTAATCATAACATAATGTGAGTTTTGAATAATTAATGGTCAAAGTTCATAAAGTTTGACCCAAAAGAGTCAAACTGGGAAGATTCTAGCGTTACGGAGGTAGTATTTTAAGTGATTGCAAACAGAGCCTAAGCGAGCTTTATGGTGCTCAACAGAACCGTTTGACCAGACGAAGCTGGCTGGGATACCAAAACAACTTCCCACACTGAGGAAGATAAAACACACAAGAAAGAACCACCACAGAACAGAACAAACACAACCAAAAGAAAAAGCAATCCAGCTGGATCATACTCCTATGCGGTGATGGACTTAGAGGGGGGGGGGGGCATCCTTTTGAAATTTCAAGATTTTCTATTATATATGTGATATTTTCATAAAATTTGCATAATTTAATTAAATATATATTGTTCGCCCCCTTAGCTTTTAGTTTTCAAAATTAATATATAATCTTACATAATTTAATAATCAATAAAATATTTAAAAGAAGAAACATAAAAAATAATTTACTTAACTTAAACAATAAACAATAGGACAACTCATTGCTTAAGACTTGAGATTTATACTTATTATATAGAATGAAGTTTCTAGTTTTGTAATATTTAATTATCTTTATTAGAAAATTAGTACTCAATAATGTAGAATATAAAACGATATTAAATGCGAGACACAACAGTTAAACAGTTTTTAGATCATGTGAAATGAATCCAAAACATAAATATTTATTGTTATTAAATATAATTACATAATTCATTTACTTCTTACTTTCTAAAAACAATTTAATGCATAGATTTAGCTTTAACTTTAACTTTCTAAACTTTAACTTATTTTAACTTTTAATAAAAATATAATATGCACCACATATATCAATTAGCAATATAATATTATTCCAAAAATTACAATATCACACATACTAATTGTAGTATTAAGAAAACTGTTGGGCGTGTTTCAATAAATAAAGAAAATTTATTAAAATGGATTAATTAATTAAAATAAATAAATTAATTAAAATGACTAAAGAAAATTAATTAATTAATTCATCGCCTCCCACGGTGCTAGGAGCGTTGCAACGACCGTTTCCCAAGATACAGTGGCTAACGAACTATCGTTTGAGCACACAAACGAAAGTAGAACACTTAGAGAAATTTTCGTAATGGTGGAGGTATTTTAGAGCTCAAAATTACGTGAGGAATGTGTATGAACGTGTGTTGTTGCAAACCACATGTCAGCCATTATACATCATTTAGTTGTTGTAACGGATGAGAACAACGCGGCAAGAACACTCCCAGGTGTTCTGTTGTGACGTGCGCGACCAGAACACCCCCGAGTGTTCTTGTGTGACGTGTTTTGTCCGAAGCAGTTTTGGCGCAGAGCAGAAGGGTTTCTGTCCGAGCAATTCTGGTTCTGGGAAAAAAAAATAAAATGTTACGGGAAAAAGCGAAAATTAAACCGTATCTTTAAAAGATAGAGTTTTGGAAACAACATTCGTGCCCTAGATTTGCACCCACCCTGCGTGCAAAGAGAATCTTTCACCTTAGCAATCTTAACTCCTTAAAAGACGTTTCCCTTTATAAGGGGTTGCAAATCCCTTGCGTTTCCCGGTGTGGGAAATTAACACACTAGAAGCCCATCATTTTCCCCAGTTTTTTCTATTTCAACGAGTGAACTTCGAGAATCAATGTCTCATTCACCCGTTATCCGTTTTGAGCGTACCGCATATCGAATTGTATTTTTTAGCAAGGACAATACAAAACCACTTTGACCCGACCCTAATCGGAAATGGATCCCACTCAAAATGTTGCCCCAAAATTGTCATTTAATGCAAATTTTAACACATTTTTCTAACAAAAACTCCTCGTGACTCACGAACACACTTATTGGTAGACAAAAATTGCAATTGAAAAACCATTTCTATATTCCGATAAGATTCATGTGGTTAAACAAGGTAGAAGTTATTTAAAAAGTATTAGTGGATGTGCACCTTTTAAACCTTTTATCTTCAAATAATTTGTTAAAATGTTATATATCCCTCTTTATTTTCAAATAAATTTCCTTTCATATGCCATTTCTTACTCTGTAAGGTTTCAATAGTTTTTGTAGAGCACTTCAATTATAAAATCAAAGTTATTTTGTCATTGTCTAAACTTAGAATGTAATAGATTTAAATATAAGCTTGTATGTAATACGGAGTAATAAACTATGTTTAAACTAAAAAAACTAGCCGCAAAATCCTACACTAGCGAAAACATTTCGCTCTGCTACGCTAGCGAAAAAATTCCACCGCACTACTATGTCGGGAAAAAATCGCCCTTAATGAAAATATTCCGTCCCTTGCACAAACGAAAACATTTTCAAGCCCCTTACCTTGAAATCCTGGATCCATCTCTGCTCCTATATAAAGAAACTTTGAGAGCCGATATCACCTCACCATCTTCTCTTCTAAGGCCGTCTCAGCAACCACGAGCAGGGTGTATTGAATATGGATTGTGGGAGACTTTTTTAATCCATGAACTTTTAAAAAAGTCAATGAGTTTTTAAATCCATAGACATTTTTATGTATGAATTCTGTTGACCTTTGAATCCGGACCTTCATTGCTGGGTTGTCGGAATTTTCTCCTAGATCGTTGCTACTGATATGCCTGTCCGCTTTTGTCGGAACTAAAATATGAGTTGTTTGTGACAGACAACTTGTCTGCAGGGGACAGACACATGTGCAAAAAAGGTGTACACGTTTTGTGTACACCTAACAAAACTCATATAGTTATATATTTCTTCTCATGTGGGCCCATTTATTTTATCTTTCTTTATTATACATTTTATATTTTTTTTTTAATTTTATTTTTTTACTTAATGGAGAAGATATAAACTTGTGGTAGATGAAAGTGTATAAAAATGTTATTTAGCGTTAGCCTATGTGATTTTTTATTTTCATTTAATATTTGAAGATGAATTTATGTATTATATATGGAGTGCGAAGTATATATTTCTAGAATACTAGTCATACTACCTCCATCCCTTAAAACTTTGCCATAGTTGACCGGCACAGAAAATAATAAAGTAAAAACTGTGTGGTTGAGGTTTGTGCAGAGGAGAGAGAAATAACAAAAACCACAAAATAATTGCTTAAAAGGAAAAATGACAAAGTTTTTTGGGACTTTACAAAAGGGAAAGATGGTAAAGTTTTAAGGGGCAGGGTGAGTATTATTTATTAGCATTGATGTATTCTACCTTTTTGTTTTTAAATATATAGTATGTTTTACACATTTCATAGAATAAGTTGGATGAAAATAACTTGTACTCCCCTCGTCCCAATAACACGAATTAAGAAAGTGAAAAATGTGTAACCTAAATTGTGCTGAGGGAAAAAGTGAGAACAAATGTTTTGAATCATAAATTCTTTGTTAAATAGGAAAAATGAGTTTATATTTAGATAGACGAAAAAAGAAAGAACGAACAAAATATTGGGAGGAAGGGAGTAGTAATTTCATCCGTTCTTGATCCACCCGAATATGCCATTGATGATGAATTGATTGTATGTGGATGAAATATTTAACGGGTGACAAATGAATCGGGTGCTCGGGTAGGGTGGACCTCCACCTGATCCAAATACTATACGATCCATTACCATCCTAGGATGCACTGGGCCTTAATATTAATCAAAATTAGGAACGAAGAAAAAACATGTAAAAATCAATTCGGATGATATTATTTAACTTTTATAATAAGTTCTACTGATACGATCTTAATTTTTTATGGACTTTTAATCTTTATTTGAAAGTAATAACTAATCTAATACTATTCTCATTTTTCTATATGACTTAATCTTATTAAAAAAAATCAAGAACCCATAGAAATAAGACTAACAAAACATCTTCATGCTTTAACTTTTATTTTCTTCCCATGACTACTTTTCAAATTTCGAACATTGAATCAAAACATTCACTCAATTTTCATGCGTGAACTCTCTAATATGCGAATTTTCTGAATAAGGTATGACTGTACAATATCTAATCATTTTCCCAACCAATTTCGAAATAATGATTGACCCTTATTAATGTGTGTACCATGTGAGGTGTGCTTCTCACTTACATGTGTGCACTTTCAAATTTGCTGATTTTCTGGTATGATTATACAATATCCAATCATTTCCCCAACCAATTTTAAAATAATGATTGATCCCCATTAATGTTTGTACCATGGGGAGTGTGCTTCTGACTCACATCTCACATTCTATATAAGAACCCAAATAACTCCCAAATGACTCACAAAGAAAAAAAAGTTCAAAAAAGATTGAAGAAATATGGCCACAAAACTATGGGTCGTCCTTGCGGCATTGTCATTGGTTCTTTCTGCTACGAGTTCATCATCCTTAGCCGAATTTCCAGTCGTCCAATTCTTCAACAATATAAAAGAAGGAAATGTTTCTCTTGACTGTAGAGATGGTGGATCAGCTAAACTAGAGCCACTTCAGAGATTTTCATTTGAAGCCAAAGAGAAAGACAAAGAATATGCTTACATTTGTTCTTGTGAGTATTATGGGAATATCTCTGCAGAAACGAGATATGAACTTGAAGTCAAGGGATATTCTCCCGAAAGAGACATAGATCATGAAAACATCTATTGGATGTTTACGTTAGATGGAATTCTTCTTAGTTATGATCAAGTTCACTACCATATAAAAGTGCTTTGGAGAGTATCTCCAAAATAATTATATTGATGTTGATGTTGCCTTCATTCGCATTTTGATATATTTGTTGGTCTATGTAATCCTTAGCTTCTTCCATGAAGATTTTAATGATCACAATCTCGGTTAATTAAAAAAAAGGTCCCATTCACATTTCACTTGTTTGTTTACTCAACATTCCAAATAGTATTCTTTTTTGTTTTCTTTAAATGGATGGAAAGGATTATAATAAATAAATCTGATAAAAAAATCTGATATCAAAAGATGATTTGATTAGATAATTAATTCATACGATGTTTTTACTTAGATTGTTTTCAGCCCAGACCAAATTAGACCAGACTTAAACAGACTATATCAAACTTAAACAAATCAAACCAGACTTGAGTTCGTAGTTATAAAATACACAGAGACCAGACGTTTACCAGACCAGTTCAGATCATACCAGACTCAAATAGACTAGATCAGACCAGATCACACTTAAATAAGTCAGACCAGATCAAGTTTAACCAGACCAGACTAGCAAATTACAGTCCAAGTAAAAACATCTATACTCATTGCTTCTGAAAATATGTGTTGGCATTTCTAGCCTTTTTCATCGATATTAATTAATTTTTAATAATGCATTTGAACAAAAGACCACCTTATTGATAAAGCGAAGGCCAATTGTCAAAAACATGACCATTTCTATAAAAAGACAAAATGAGACTAAGGAGATCATATATTTGAAAAAATATGATATCATAGTCGAATTTTTCTGTCACTGTGATATGTCATTATTGTAACACCGTCCCCAAGTATATTTACTTTTGTGTAAATTATGTATTGAACCTTGAAAAAGGTTAATGAATTTATAAGGTTGTAATTTTTTGTTATTATTTTTGCTTGAATAGTAAATTGCACGCGGGGCCCACATCGGGAGCAGGGACCACCCGATATTATATTCATCATGGTCTAGAGAATACTTATATGATGGTGTATATCCAAGTTGGGCCATATGAACTAGGAAGGGCGTAGAGTTGATCGGTCGGTCAAGCTTGGCCCAATTACCCGTATTGGTAATTTATCAGAAAATAACACGTGATAGATTCTAGGGACTTCTAAATTAAAGTTGGGAGATGTATATTCATTCTAAAGACCCATATTAATTATGTTTGACCCGATAAAATAAAATATAATTAAAACAATCCGAGAAATACAACTTTCGGGGCCGATTGTACACTTCGGGACACATTGGGATGAGCTCCCACATGATTGGGGGACACCCCACTTTTTTATATGCTCAAATTAATTAAAGGGATTGTCATCTAAAGTACTTATTAGATGACCCCCTGCCTCACTCATTTTTCAATGGAGACAAAAGTGAGCCATTCCCTCTCTCCTCCAACCATTATGCTCGACCAACCACCCAAGAAAAGAGAGAGAAGCTCTGAAACATCACCCTCCATAGCTGCAAATTCGAGCTAAAGGGAAAAAAGGTCAAAAGAAGGAGTTTAAAAAAGGAAAAAGTGAAGAAAAGCTTGAAGGATTAAGGTAATGATCCTATAACAATTATTTCTCCTTTATTCAAGTATCATATGACTTATATACCATATTAAGGACCCCTATGATTGTTCTACATGTTTAGAAGTGTAGAAAAAGGGTTTGAAAGGTAGTTCTAAGTCCAACAACGGACCTAGATGAAGCCAAAGTGACCGATTCACCGGAAAATAACCTTTTAGAGGTTATCTGTATTGATATGGGTTTTGTGGTGATACAACCTTGTTAGGAACTTGTATAAGGTGTTCCTAGTGATTTCACGGAGTTGAAAGAGTCGCGGAGTTATCAGCGAGTTAAAAAAAGTTCGCTGGAGTTTCGTCGGGGTTCAACCGAGAAGGGTAGAACGTGTTAAAGCTCATTCAATGTGAGTGGACGGCTTAATGTCTTATAACTCTTCGGTTAAGTATGAGATTACCCAAAGAAATGTTATATGTGTTCATAATGATGTTTAAAAAGGTTTAAACTTGTGATTAGTCAAGATGATTAGGCTTATATAATATCAAATGAACCGTAAAGTTATGCATAAAAATGGTATGGAAATGATATAAAACATATATGATGTTTTGAATGGCCAAAATAGCAAATATTGATTGTTGGTTGAATGAATATCTTGGCTAATAAGTTTAATACATGTTGTGAATAAGTTTCGGATCAATCGGAGTCGGTTCGGGAGGTCAACGAGCCGTTGACCGCTGGTTATGGTTTGAACCGGCGCCATTCTGAGTTCGGTTTTCAGGAATTAAATGATTTAATATGAACAGGCCCCGGTCAGGGCCAGAACCGATGTTGGTCCGGCTACGACTTTCGGGTCCGGTTTTTGTTGATATTCGTTTAGGGGGCCGGTTCGAGGTAGAACTGGCCCCATCCATCCTATATATGTATATTATGCATAGAATTGCATGAAATATGATGTATAAATGCTAAGACTTGATATTCGAGGATTAATTGCTAAGTCTTGGTTTAATCATTAGTGATGATATGATATAGGCTCTATCTAGTTTGATATGTGGTAGATCATAGGTCAGGTGGAGTACCCAGGAATCGGGCGTGTATCCTCACAACTCAGTTAGGTTGAGTGGAGTACCCAGGGAACCGGCGTGTATCCTTAAAACTCAGTTAGGTCGAGTGGAGTACCCAGGGATCGGGTCTGTATCCCCAAAACTCGGTTAGGTTGGGTGGAGTACCCACAGATTGGACGTGTATCCTCAAAACTTGGTTATATTCGGTGGAGTACCACTACTAGAAAATTTTGCGTAGCCCACAAAAATCGTCCATACAAAGTTAAATTTGTAGCCAAATACCCTAAACTTGTTTATTTTTTTGTCTCGATTGTATTTTCCATAGATAATAATAGGCGGCTCCCTACATAATACACATTCAATTATTCAAATAGGAAGGGTTAGTAGGGTTTTCGTATTTGGGTATAAAAGATACTGGTATTTGGGTTGTGGGTTGAGAGATGGAAAGTGGATGTTGGGCTGGGTTTATACAAATTTAAATGGGAAATTTTCACGAATAGCCGGAAACGGGAAAAGAATTTCACTTTTGTCACCAACGAAAACTTCTTTCAAAAATGAACTAAGCCGGGTTTTCTTTTCACGTATAGATCATTTCATTAAAACCCGGCTATTTGAACCTCCGAACCCCTGGCAGCCTGGCTCCTCGCACATACACTAAGGTGCTCAATCTGTCCTCCATCTTTATTGCCAACCAGACGTAGGAAGCTCTCTATTTTTTTAATGTAAATACAAAACGTAAACATAAGTAACAAACTAAACAAAGTGAGAGTTAAAAATTAAAAATTCAAAACACGCACAAAAAGAAAAAAAACAATGTAAAATAAATTAAAATAAAACAAGTTTGATTTAAATTTTCAAAATGAAGTCAGAAAGTTTCAAAAAAAACATACGTAGTTAAAATTAAAAAACAAAAATAGTTAAAATGTGGAAAAATTAAAATAGTTAAAATGTAAAAACTTGTACGTACAAAATTCTCCCTCCCTATTTTGATGTTTGCTAGCCATTCTTTTTGGGATATATTTTAAGATTTGAAATATTTTTAATTTTGGTAAGTTTTTTCTTTAAAAATATTCAATTACCCTTACATTTTATACTTTTTATCTTCTTTTTCATATTTTTTCACTATCACTTCTATATTTTCTACACTATTCATTACCCCTACTATTTCACTCGTAAATAATGTGCTCAAACCTATTGTAGTGAACATTAAAATACAGAGGGTGTACTTTATTATAAAGTACTCCAAAATTCTTTTACACATCTGATATAATTTATATATAATATAGAAAATGTCAAAAACATAAAAAAAATCAGATATTTAATGAAGAAAGGGAAAAAAAATCTAAAACTATAAACTATCCAAAAATATGTCAAATAAGATAAAAATGCTTTTTTTAAACCAAGATAAAAATGCTTTAAACTATTACAAATATGAAAAGTAGAAAGAATTGTTTTTAAAAAAGTTATTTTTTTAAATATGAATGCATAATTGAATACAAGTAAAAAAGTCTAAAAGTCAAATTAATATAAAAATTTGAAAATGTTCGAATTTCAAAATAAAATTTATATATAATAGAAAAATGCAATATATAATTGAAAAAAGTAAAAGAAAAAAGTAAACTAAAAGAGTTTAATATATAAAACCTCGAAAAATGTGAAAATTGAAATACTGAACAAGAAAAAATACCTAAAATTGAAAAAATAATGAAAATTTAAATTTAATATCTTGTAAAATGATAAAACTTTTAAAGTGTTATTATGATATTACTGTTAGCTTATGATGCAAATTGTTTCTTTTTGTTGATAAATCTAAAACTTTTGTTTTTTTTTGTTTCCATGTGTTTCTAGTTGTTGTCGATATTCATAAATTTAAATTTGTCATTCTAGGTGTTATAATATAAATATATATATGATTTTTTATTTCAAGGCGGTAGCAAAAACAAATAGAAACATAAATAAACAACAAGAAACAATATCAACAATAAACAACAATAAGCAACATGATGCAACAAAAACAAACATGGTGCTACAAAAGGAAACATGATGCAACAAAAGGAAACATGTAAGCTAAAACAAAAAGAAACAAAAAACAACATAAAAGTTATCACTATTAATATAATAAAATATATTAGTTCAACATATTACATTTATCTAGTATATCATTTGACTTTGGTTCTTCTAGTTCCTCTTCTTCCATTTATGTTTCCTCTTAACGCACAACTCTTCATATTTGTCACTCTTGTCTTCATTTTCCTCATCAAACTTCTTTGGCTTATCGTCTCATGTACATCCTTTTCTATTATGCGTCTGCAATGAGAGTGTAATCAATATGACACAAATTCATAACCAATTATTACAAGAAACCAACACACTAAGTGTATGAAACAACCTTTTCTAATCAACTCCTTTCTTTGAGTAGTGACACAGGCAGGGGGTGGCAGAGTACGAAAGACTACTATCGCACTTCTCGTTTGTGTGTGTGTTATATAATCCCTGCATCTTTATAATTTATCAAAAAACACGAGTAGGTATTTTTCTAAGCACTTTCCTAGTTCT